TTCATTTTATGATGCTCATAATACTATCGAAAATAACAAACATTTATTAAGATGTTAACATTGATCTTTTTTTATGAAAAACTGAAATATTTCTATTTGAATCAAAGAAAAAAATTAATCGAGAATTATTTCACAAATTATAATAATACATAAATGATATATATCATAACGTGTCGTTGTCGCATACTATGACGAATATAAATACGTTTTTTTCTCACTTTTCGTCGTTCCCAATCGGTCTTATACAAGGTATAACAATATTATAGGTTCCTCTTTTATTTTCGAAATTTTTCAACAAAAACAAATAACCAGGTCAACTCTAAATAGTGATTTGTATAGCTCTTGAAATTCTCTATCGAATATAGTATGAGCCAAAATTTCAAAAAAAAGACCTTTGGGTAGAGACTTTTTCACACAATCGATTCACTAGAATTTCAAGTCTTAGAGAAATTTGATACAAATATTTTTAAATATAGTCATGTGAAAGAGCAAAAGACTCTGAGAAAAATGTGGGATCGCCCAGCTCTCCACGATGTTTTGTTGGAAAGTTATGAGCACCACAAAATCCGAAAAAAGCACGTTTTTTGCCGTTTTTGCCTGTTTGTTTTTGATAACCTATGCAATTTTTTTGCATTTTCTGATGCATATAACTTTGCAAGAAAACATTGTGGAGAGCTGGGCGATCCCACATTTTGTTCAGAATGCTTTGCTCTTTCAGATGACTATATTTATATATATTTGTATCAAATTCCTCTAAGACTTGAAATTCCAGTGAACCGGTTTTCCGCAAAAAGTCTTTTCACAAAAGTTTTTTTTTAACATTTTGGCCCATACTATATTCGATAGCGAATTTCATGGGCTATCCAAGTCACTATTTAGATTTGACCTGGTTGTTCGTTTTTGTTGAAAAATTTCGAAAATAAAAGGGAACCTATGATTTTGTTATACTCTGTATATTTGTTCAGGTGTATAGAAAGGTATTAATTTTCCTAAGGCAAGTCGCATTTCGTCAACTAATCGACACCAATTTGATGTTAATGTACCGACATGTAAATCTGCATTAGCTTCAATAAATAAATCAGTAAGAAATTCTAATACAATTTTCCCACGTTGTTGTTTTGTCATATGAATTAATGACCCAAAAACAATATTTCTTGGCAATGTTAGATTTAATAATTTATAATAACCTTGTTTTTCTTTATTTATTTGAACAAATTCATTGAGTACTTTTTCATCTTCAGAATTAATATAAATCGTTGATATATTCGCTTGTCGAGCATGAGCATCAAATAAATCAAAATATTGTTTAAGTGTAAATGCTCGAGACATTTCTTTATTTCTAACTTTATCTGATCGACGTACGTAAACAGCAATATAAGGATGATGAAGATCGATTGAAGATGGTTGAAATTGTTTTGATATGGCATTCAGTACATGAGCTAATGTTTCAGGTTTATATCGAATTAAATAAAATATTATTTGTACACGATACCAATTAAAAGTTTGATTTTGAAATGTAGATGGAATAATTGATTTAGACCAATGGCCAAACTTAGCATTGATTGTAATTGTTTGATTACCATCAACTTTGGATGGAATTGAACAGTTTGTGATAGGAAGAAAAAAACAATCTGGTGTTGTTGAATTACAATCTCCATAAAGCTAAAATAAATAGAATCTATTATTAACAGTTAGTAGACATTTCAATAGCAATTTTTCGAACTTTCTTTTTTTTGATAACTCAAATTTTCATTTCAACGTTAATAAGAAAAAGGTAAGCATAAGGGTTCATTCTTCTAGACTATATAACAAGATAAAAGTTTGATTAGCATATTTAATATACTATTAAAATCTATGTTCATAATTCTGATCTGTTCAAGTAATCCGCTACAAATATGTCACACGATTTTGGTTAGATGCCCTGTTAAAATTGTTTGACAATGACACATGTCCAAGCATCGGACGTCGTTAAGCTTTATATGATTGCTACGAGTGGGCATGAGTGAGACTACGACTAAATTAAAAAAAATTCGTGTCTATAGCCCACTGAAGAAGAATTATAGTCGCTTTATTAAAATTTTTACTAAGAGCAAAACATTGCTAAAACAACAGCAACAAAAAGTTTCGAAATGTTATGTTGCTTATCGGCATCTTTGATGTTCTAGGATAGCCCTGAAAATTTCAACGAAAACGAACATGTCGTTTTTCGAGATATTAGATTTTCTAGAAGACTCGATTATTGCGTCTATCTATCATAAACTGAAACATGCATATAGACAAGAGTTTAACTTAAAATTGTTTGTCTTAAATTTTTTTCGTAAATATCTTGCTCTCAAGAACAATGTCATTAAAACAACTATAACTCTCTATCAGTAAATCATGTATCAAAATCTTTTTAAGCTTGACTTAGTCTCCTGTAGACCTACTCATAGCTGTAATATGAAGTCGAATGGTGTCTGACTTCTAGATATGTTTCGTTATCAGTAGATTGAGAAAGTGCCCTAAGTGCCATATTCGAGTAAATTTTTTTCTCGCTCATTCATATATGATTTGATAGAGCTTGAAAATTTTGTAAACCTATCTAGGGTGTGGGTGTGTGGATGAGGATTTGCATGGCAGTTCACTTCTAACTCATACCCACACCCCAAAAAGCTTAAATAGGTGCTTTCATAGTTCACAATCTGGCGATTCGAAGGCTATATGACAATGATTCCTGTTTCTTGTCACAAAAAACTCGATAGGCTTACAAAGTTTTCAAGCTCTATCAAATTATATATAGCTGAGCGAGGGAAAAATTCACTCGAATTTGGCATTCCCGGCATCTTAATTACCAGATATCTGACTGGTTTCTATAGTATTCTAAGAATTTTACAACAAGTCAGTAGATTGAAAATTGAAAAATGTTTTACAGTCCATCTCTAAAAACCCATGAGGCACCTTACGATTTCTCTGAAATATTCATAGCAGGGAACTCTGAACTTAGTATATCTATTAAGGTTTTGTGTCCAAATGTATTTTAATGATATCAATTTATTTTACCCAATTTCCTGGGATTTTATACACAGCAATTCTATTATCTGCTATTGCTGCACCAAATGCCCATGCAATTTGATGAACGGTTGATCCAAAACCAGACCAAGCATAATTTTGAATAATAGCAAACCGTTTATTCGTACAATTGATTGGATGTTGATGTTCATAAAACCATTT